AACCATTCTGAGAGGTATGATAGCTCATTGTAGTTTTGTTTGCATTTCTCTGATGATGAGTGATGTTGAGCATATTTTTATGTGTGTTTTGACCATCTGTCTGTCTTCTTTGGAGAAGTGTCTGTTCTTGTCTTCTGCCCATTTTTAATTGGATTATTTGTTTTTTGGGTGTTGAGTTGTGTGAGTTTTTTATATATATATTTTAGATACTAACCCTTTATCAGATATGTCATTTGCAAATATTTTCTGCCGTTCAGTAGTTTGCCTTTTAGTTATGTTGATTATTTCCTCTGCTGTGCAGAAACTTTTCATTTTGATGTAGTCCCAATAGTTTATTTTTGCTTTTTTTTCCCTTGCCTCAGGAGACATAGCTAGAAAAACACTGGTACAGCCAATGTCAGAGACTTTCCATCTGTGCACTTGTCAAGGGCTTTTATGGTGTTAAGTCTCACTTTTAAGTGTTTAATCCATTTTGAGTTTTTTTGTGTGTGTGTAGGGTAAAAGAAAGTGGTCTAGTTTAATTCTTCTGCATGTTGCTGTCCAGTTTTCCCAACACTATTTGTTGCAGAGACTGTCTTTTTCCCATTGTATATTCATTCCTCTTTTGTTGAAGATTCATTGACCATATAACTGTGGGTTTATTTCTGGGTTTTCTATTGTGTTCCATTGATCTATGTGTCTGTTTTTATGCCAGTACCATATTGTTTTAATTATTACTGCTTTGTAATAATTTTCTCACATGTAGCAATATATATTGCTCTTTATCCTTTCAGTAAAGCACATATAACCACCACTGTTCTGTGTGTTCCCTTTTTGCCTCTTAAACGTCTGATTAGTTGGAACCCAAAGATTCCAGTGAGTCAATGTATATAACTTTGTATATAATACAGCTATATTATTGCCTACAACAACAATCTGGTGCTACTGTTTTGCTCTTGGCATTCTTAGATGGTGGCTGATTCCCCCCTCCCCCCCGTCATAGCTCAGCTGTTATGCTCTGTGTGGTGAAATTTCAGTCAGGAGTAGTGCCTGTGGTTTTATCCTACCGTCCACTGTAGAAAATGTGTACATATTTCATTCTTGACACTTACCACTTACCTCTCAACAGATCATTCAGCTTAACTTTAACAAAATAGATAGTTTTTGAGTGAATGGGAAAAAAAATTATGACTGTTACTGAATGTTAATTTTTAATCTGTTAGATATTCCAGAGAAGAGGGAACCATAGGATTTGGAATTGGGGATGTGGCATTTAGCAACTAGGATACATCCAAGCTTTTAGAGAATAGACTATCTGATTATTTATACTGTATTGGGCCATTACTTTCAGAGAATTAGTAGGCAAAGTTCTAAGATTCCTTATCTCATAGATGAAGGGAATATATTTGGTTGGAACTGGGAAAGCAAGCTAGAGTTTAGCCTATGAAAAAGATTGTGAAATCCTCATGATGATCTTATGTTATATATATTAAAGAATATTGTGAGGGTGCCTGGCTGGCTCAGTTGGTGGAGCATGCAACTCTTGATCTCTGGGTCATGAGTTCAAGCCCCCCATTGAGCATGGAGCTTACTTAAAGAAAAATAAAAAAAAAATAAAAGTAACTTAAAAAGAATATTGTGATATACGGTTGGAAATTTTAATTTTTTAAAATTACTCCCTATTTGGGTGGGAATTGATGGGATAAAAAAAAAACTAGAAAAAAATCTGATGAGCATAAATTATGCACAATGAACCAGGAACCTACTCTTGTTCTTCTTACACTGGAGGTCTAGAAAGGCTGATTCATGCAAAGGGAGAACTGGCTAATGAGACCCATATATATATTTTGTGAACTGGAATAAACATGCTTTCCTGAGCAATGTCCTTGTAAGTTATATGCAGGATGGGGAGGCAGCCTAGTATGGTGGCAGGAGGGATGTCAAAGGTCTGATTTGAGATTCTAGAGCCATGACAATGAAAATCATGACCATTTTTATGTCCTTCAGTAATAACATTTGTTTTATTGTCCTTAAAAGATTGTCAGGATAAATGATGTGTGAAAAAAATCTTTCAAACTTGTAAATTTCCAAACAAATTTCAGTTGTTACTACTACTAATAATTACAAATCATTAACAATTGGTTAAAATTATAAGCTCTCCAAAAACTTAAGATTCAGAGACAAGATCTTAAAGACTAAATTCACTCATCAGTTAACTTTCAATAGATCAATAATTGCATTTCCTTATAATTTTTATTTCTCAAGTGCATGCTCTTTATGAATAATTTCTCCTAATTTAAAAGTAATAATATCCATTTTAATAGGCGACAATAAAATTTGGAAATTGAAATATATTTTCTTTCTGCTTCTTAGCTTACTTTATGAAGGTTACATATTGCCTTATTTTATAATCACCCTTATGATCACTCAGCTCCTGAAATGTAGGTTTTTTTTTTTTTTGGAAGAATATCAAATTATATTTTCTCCAGTATAAAACTATTGTACCCTTTGTGAAAAGATGGAGGAAAATTGATGAAATTTAAAGCTGATCAGGCTTATGGTACTTTATTGTGAAATTGAACTTTCAGTATGACATCATATATATTAACTTACCCTAGTTTGTATAATATCACTTGGTTGTTTATAAGGAGGGACTCTGGATTGGCTACAATAGTAGATGAAGAAATAACTTAATCAAAGATAATTTCCTGTGTCTACCACTCAGTATGCTAAACTGTGTACTTAATCATCTTCTAAAGGAAAACACACAGATTTAGATTTTTCTTGCAATAGAGATATTCAACAAGACAGCTCTGAAGTATGTGATTAACTTGAAATAATGGTGGCCCTTAGGGTTTCAGGCTTTTTCTACCTCATAACATTTTAGGTCTGTTATTGCCTCAGGTGAACCCAATTCCCCAAGAAAGAAGATGCTGAATTAATTCTTCTGTGACTTATGTCATCAATATATCTAGAATAGAAATAAAACTATGTGTCTCTACTATTTATGAGATCCTAGGTAGCTATTTTTTCTAACACTTCACAAAAATTGCTGAATTTTCTAAACCCTGATAATGATTGTGGACTCTTAAAAACAAATCTTCACATACAGACAAATGAGATTAAACATATGTACGCACATGCGCACGCACACACACGCACAAATTCATGTACTGTGCAGAGTTCAAGAATATTCTTTTACTGGATTTTCCCTGAAACAAGATCTAATAAAATAAGTTCTTTTAAAGTAAATGTTTCTTTGCCTTACTGTCTTCAAACACACCATACAGTGAGTGAACACTAGTCAGTTTCTGAAACTTTTCAGGCCAGATTGCACATGCTACCTTACTTTTTGCCAGGATTGCATCACACACACTTTTTCAGGATGTTTATGTCTGAAAATAGCTCAAATTCTTTTTTTTTGTTTGTTTGTGCAAAGATCAGCTACAAAAATGACTGATCATAAATCTTTGTGTAGTAACCTAGAATAGACATGAGACATTATAATCTGGTTAATAATGATTTGATATATAGATGAATTTAATTGGAATATATTTGTTGATTAAACTAATAAATGATCTTTCAAGTTATATTGAATTCTAGTAAGATTTTCTCATTGTCTGATGAGTATCTAGCAAGATAATCTACTTAGTTCATGATAGTATATAATATTATCATTCATTTACTTTTGTGTTAAGAAAGCAATTACCTAATTTTTTCTTTGTTCTTATTTTCTCTGGAATTTGTTAAAACCTCTTCAATAAATTCATTTCTGAAAATGCTACAAATCAGATGTGCCAATAAAATAAAAGTAATTTAAAGAGGAGAATTGAACATGCACGCCTAAAAAGCTATATCTTAAACAGCAAAAATTCATTGTATTAGTGATTATCCTAATAGTATTAGAGGAAAAAATTTCCAATAGTGAAACTATGGCAAACTTAGAGAAGCAATGAGAAGAATGATGTATCACCAAGAGTATTCAATCTAGAACAACTACCTAACCTGGCATTTTCCAAGGAGAATTACATGGAACACCAATATATCATTGCATGGTATATTGTAATTTATTAATAGATGTTTCCCCAAGAGTTTATAATCAAAATTTCAAAATTCTGCATGCTATATTCTCTTCTTGTGCGTTGCAATGCATCTAAAGTTTCTGAGAAGCATTTAATTGGAAATATGTAGGTATTTCTTACTGTGGTCAAATGCACATAAAGTAAGATTTACATTCAAAAACGTACAATTCAGTGTCATTAAGTACATTCACAATGTTGTATAACCATCACCACTGTCTCCTTCCAGGTATGTAACTTTGTGATTGTTAATTTGACCATGAAACAGTTTTCTTCTGGAATATCTTTTAATTTAATAGAAGAGATAGAAAAGAACTACTTTTAAAGTTAGATTCTCATCTATAAATAAGTAAACCATGTATTTGGTGCAAGGATCAAATGGAATAATGTATATAAATACATACTGTAAGTTGTGTAGTGCTATCCAAATGTAAATTGCGGGAAATGGCAGGTGCAGACAGGTTAAACTACTAATTTATTTCAATCACTGCCAGTTAAACATGGTCAGAAAAGAACTACTTTTAATTTTGGTATGTCCAGAAAATATAGTTATGGAAATACCGATCTAATCCAATCCTCTCAATTTAAAAATTAAAAATAGAAAAATGTGATTTTGAGAGAGTAAATGCCTTGCTCAAGATTACACAGGTGGTTGGGGTACAGCCAGTCAGTATCTCTTTCATATTTCCCACTTCCAAGAACAGGGCTTTTCTATTTCCAGGTATTTTCTGCTTGTTTCCATTGGTGTTGCCTGGATCCGATGATCCAGTAATCTACAAATTATACATTACAATTTGACCTAGAAGAATTCAGGATTAAAACAAAAGCATTACTTTTTAAAAGCTACATTGTACTTGTTTTATAACTCTCTCACTGTGATTTTCTTAAGAGAACTTTCATTGTAAGAATTCTCTTTAATTTATATAATTCTTCTGTTCTTAGGTCTTTTTAAGATTGTGGCTGATAAAACTCCATACCTCACTATGGAAGAAATAACAAGGACCATTCATATTGGATCAAGTAGACTAGGGCATCCTTGCTTCTATCATCAGAAGGATCTAAAACTGGAGAATCTCACTGTAAAACAGGGTGAGCAAATCATGCTCAACTCAGTTGAAGAGATCAGTGGAGAAATAATGGTGAACTGTGGAGTGGTAAGGAATCATCAGAATCATTCGTTTACTTTGCCTTTGTCACAAGAAGGAGAATTCTATGAGTGTGAAGATGAACATATTTATACCCTAAAGGAGATTGTTGAATGGAAAATCCCAAAGAACAGAACACGAACCGTGAAGCTTACCGGTTTTTCAAATAAGTGGGACTTAACAAATCCATTCCCTAAAGGCTTTTATGGTGCTCTGATTCTCAAGCCTGTTTATGAAATTCAAGGTGTGATGAAATGTAAGTATCCACTGGGAATGATGCTCTTGAGGGTGAGCATTGTGGGGTTTGGGAAGGAGGAAGGCTTTAGAGTTTGAAGAATGCGACCCTGTCCCTGACTTGTCCTTTAAACCCACTAAGAGTTAGATTCTCATCTATAAATAAGTAAACCATGTATTTGGTGCAAGGATCAAATGGAATAATGTATATAAATACATACTGTAAGTTGTGTGGTGCTATCCAAATGTAAATTGCGGGAAATGGCAGGTGCAGACAGGTTAAACTACTAATTTATTTCAATCACTGCCAGTTAAACATGGTCAGAAAAGAACTACTTTTAAAGATTGAGCATGTTTAGTTAGAAAGAGGCTTTCTTGTATGAAGGTAGTCAACAAAGTGATGAAGATACAAAGTTTCCTTAATATATCCCTTACTGCTCTTTTTTTTTGATAGCCCCCTTTTTTTTTTTTTCCTTTTTTCCAGCTACCCATCACTGGACATAAATCTTATTAGCTGGGAGTCCCTCTGACTTAGGGAAAATGATGTGACAAATTAATTCACACATAAGTGTGTTTTAATATGTGATCTTTATAGAGTTATTTGCATTTAAAAATAGAAATAGCTAGGGGCGCCTGGGTGGCTCAGATGGTTAAGCGTCTGCTTTCGGCTCAGGTCATGATCCCAGGGTCCTGGGATTGAGACCCGCATCAGGCTCCCTGCTTGGCGGGGAGCCTGCTTCTCCCTCTCCCCCTACTGTTCCCCCTGCTTGTGCTCTCTCACTCTCTGTCAAGTAAATAAATAAAATCTTAAAAATAAAATAGAAATTGCTAGAGAGAGCTTTGTTACCCTAGAGGAATTAATACTTTGAATTTTCAAGATTATGGCACATAAGTGGGCAACCATGGAGCAAAGAGTTCTGTATGCAGTCAAAAGTCCTGGATTCTAACTCTGGGTCAGTAACTTAACAGGTGGGGACTTTGGTTGAGCCATTTAAACTGTGTCTTTGCAAAAGGAATGATGATACCTCTTTTACCTACCTCTCAGAGTTGTTTTGAGAATGAAATAAGATTGTATTAAGGTACTATACATAATATACTTGAGGAAAAGGCAGTATGTAAAAATGGTCAAAGGCTATCCCTGGGATACCTCAAATTCTCTTTATCTCTGCTCCTATAAATATTGTTGGTTGTCGGTCACTTATATAAATATGAAAAAACTGATGTGAACCTTGGCGTAGGTTTTAGAACTACATGTTAAATTTTGTTACATAAGTAAGTAATGTAACCAGAAATTAATTAATTCATCTGAATTAAAGGTACAAGTAAGATACAAATTCCACTCAAGTAGCGATTGTATTTTAATATTGCAAAAAATTGAGGCCACAGCATGATCATTTTTTAATATGACAAAAAATGGAAGTCGCAGCAAATTTTAGACCTCACATTAGTGTTTTGTTAACTATCCCAAGATGTGTAATTGAAAGTGATAATTGAGTTCTCCTCACTTTTCATAAATAATGGACATAGCATTTTCTCATTTTCAAATTTGTTAATTTTTTAAAACCACTGGCATCTCCTATCACAGCTGCAAATGTAGGCCAAACCAGAACCTAAGCACATGAACAAGGTGGTTACTGCATTTAATGAATTTAGATTAGGGATCAACAAAGGCTTCTCTGAGGAAATGGCATTTAAACTAAGACCTGGAGGGTGAGTAGGAGATAATCAGGCAAAGAAAAAGGGGGACAACATTGGAGTAAGTGATAGCAGTTTCCAGGAAGGCAGGTAAGCAAGATATTGGAACTCAGTGTAGCTGGTGTGAGAAAAAGGAGGACAGGTTGAGACAAATATTAAAACATGCAGTGGGGTAGTGGAATCAGTCATGGAGAGTCTTGAAATACATGTTAAGGTGTTAACATTTGTCCAAAGGGCAAATTAATAAAGGGTTTCAGAGGAAGGAACAGGGTCAGAGGAATATAAGGAGACCATCGGGTGTATGGCAGGATATTGGGGGGTTAGTACAATAGTGGTATCAACAGGACACTTGCTCCTAATGGGTATTTAAGAAGTACAATCAGCAAGATTTGGAGGTCTAATGGAAGGAGGAAAGAAGTCAACCTGATTCCCAGGCTTCTGGCTTGATCTACTGGTTGGATGATGATACAGTTTACTAAATATAAACATTGATAGCTGAACAGGACATATTAACACAATTGTTTAGATGGACTTGTATATGGTTTCATGCTAACCAAGGTCCCAAGAAAGTTTTTGGTTGAAATAAAGTCCTTTCCAAAATATTTTAGTCTAATTCCCATTCTTTAATGGTATTAAAATTGAATTTTGATTTAAGTTATTTTGGATCTTTAATTTCTTAGGGATTATTTTAAACATTAGTTCTTTTTCTATAGCAATTTCAGGACAGATGCTGTATGGCACTCCTTTGCATGTGTACTGACTGCAGAATGTTCCCCGGAAATAGAGGACAGGTGTCCAACACAGAAAGTCCAATTTTAAAAATTATTGTTGTAGGCATTTTTCTTCTAAATATAACATGTAGGCTATTTTATAAAATCAATTGTGGTCTTGTTTTACATTATTCTTTCTTATATTAAAGATTCAAACTTGCCTTGAAGTCAACGGCATATTGCTTGCTAAGTTACTTTCCAAAGGCCTTGAGTTCAGGCATAGTTGAAAACCCTCTTGTCTCAACTCCTCCCTTTCTCAAGTGGCAAGAGAAAGAATAGGTCTGAGGCAGGGTTAGAAAATTTTAGAGAAACCTTAGGGGTAAAAGCAAGATGAAAAAGATTGAGAACTATAGAAAGTTCTGAAATAGTGATTTGCTGAAAAGAGAACATAATAAATAGGGAAAAGAAGGAATATAACATATTCTACTCCTGGTGTTAGGTTTTTAATATGTTATTGTTGTGAACATTTAGGCATCATAAAGAAGTAGCAGGACATGTTTAAATGAAATATCAGTTCCTGGAAACTCTTGGTTATGATCCCCATTACAGGCCTGAAGCCCCTCTGACTCTCACTATACATTTCATGATTTGTAAAACATTCTCTCTTTAGAAAATAGATATAAATAACCACCCAAGACCTTTAACTACTAGTCTCATATAAGTCATAGTAAGATCTGTTTGTGCCTTTCATTGGAAGATAAAATTCATGTTGTGTGACAAATGGAATACATAATATTTACAAATGAAAAATTCAGTCCGCTATTTAAAGTTGCTACTAAAAGTCAGAAATCTTGCTCGTTAAAACTTTTTAATTGTGTTATGTTTTGATGTACAGATTGATAATTACTTCTCCCCTAATGAAAATTTCAAGAGTTGAAAAGCTGCATTTCATTTTAGGTAAAAACCTCAATGCCTTCCAAAATTGAAGGGTACAGTTTTTGCTTGGATACATGACATATCAACTCATTTATAAGCTGAGGGTTGAAATCACATGAGCAGAAAGGTGGTATCAGAAAAGCAGTATCTGAATATTGAATAATAGGTGATAAATCAATAGAAACCCCCCAAACATTGATCTTTTAGTATTCTGAGACTTCTTCTTTTTTTTTAATTATGTTATGTTAGTCACCATACATTACATCATTAGTTTTTGATGTAGTGTTCCATGACTCATTGTTTGTCTATAACACCCAGTGCTCCAGGCAGTATGTGCCCTCCTTAATACCCATCACTGGGCTAACCCATCCCCCCCACCCCCTCCCCTCTAAATCCCTCAGTTTGTTTCTCAGAGTCCATAGTCTCTCATGGTTCATCTCCCCCTCTGATTTCCCCCCCCCTTCATTTTTCCCTTCCTTCTCCTAATGTCCTCCATGCTACTCCTTATGTTCCACAAATAAGTGAAACCATATGATAATTGACTTTCTCTGCTTGACTTATTTCACTTAGCATAATCTCCTCCAGTCCCATCCATGTTGATGAGAAAGTTGGGTATTCATCCTTTCTGATGGCTGAGTAATATTGCATTGTATATATGGATCACATCTTTATCCATTCGTCTATTAAAGGGCATCCTGGCTCTTTCCACAGTTTGGCTATTATGGACATTGCTGCTATGAACATTAGGGTGCATATGGACCTTCTTTTCACTACATCTGTATCTTCGGGGTAAATACCCAGTAGTGCAATTGCTGGGTCATAGGGTAGCTCTGTTTTTAATTTTTTTGAGGAACCGCCATACCATTTTCCAAAGTGGCTGTACCAACTTGCGTTTCCACCAACAGTGTAAGAGGGTTCCCCTTTCTCCATTCTTTCATTTTATTTTAAAAAATAATCTCAATATTTATCAAAGTCAAAAAAGTCAAATAGTGGTAAAAGGATTTATTACAAAATGATCAGCACACCTTATGCCCTTGACCATTCCCAACTTCTCCCCACATTCTGCTACTTCAAGGTAACTGCTTTAAATATTTTGTCCCTGCTTTCTTGTATTTGCATTTAAATTTTGAAATAATATAAAGATAGTGCTATTTTTCAAGGCATTGACTTTATACAGGTTTAGAAGAACAGTAATCACCTTCATGAAGCCTCCACCCTGGTGGCCTCATCAAATTCTAATCATCTCCCAAAGGTCCCACCTCTTAATACCTCACTGGGGAGCAGGGCTTCAACATGTGAATACTGGGGGATGAAAACATTTAATCCATACTAGTGTTGTCCTGGGACTTCCATTTAAAACCATCTGGGTGGTCCTGTTCTTTCACTGTGATAGCAATTTTTAGTCTGGAAACTCAGATATTTGATTTCTGAGATAATTTCTTTGATAATTTCCTTTCAACTATATATTTTTCTCTTTTCTCTTTCTGTAACTTCTAATCTTTTGTTGAAGCTCCCATACTGATCTAGGACTATTTTTTTCCTTATTTTACATCTTTCTTGTCTTTGGTTTACCTTCAGGGAAAATTCCTTAACTACATTTCCAACTGTTTTAATGAATTTTTAATTTCAGCTATCATATTTTTAATTTCCAAGAGTTATTTCTTACATCATTTTTTAAATG